GACCCACTCGGCCAAGGATGTGCCAAGGATGTACCTTCAACTATCCTGAAAAGGCTTCCCTCCCGAGTCGTTACTCGGCCAAGGATGTACCTTCGGTTTTCCTGAAAAGGTTTCCTTCCCGAGTTGTCACTCGGCCAAGGATGTACCTTCGGTTTTATCTCAAGGCTTCCCTCTCGAGTACTCACTTGGCCAAGGATGTGCCTTCAGATTATTCTCAAAAGGCTTCCCAACCGAGTGACCCACTCGGCCAAGGATGTGACAAGGATGTACCTTCTATTTTCTTGAAAAGGTTTCCCTCCCGAGTCGTCACTCGGCCAAGGATGTACCTTCGGATTTCCTAAAAAGGTTTTCCTCCCGAGTCGTCACTTGGCTAAGGATGTACCTTCAGTTTTCCTGAAAAGGTTTCCCTCTCGAGTCGTCACTCGACCAAGGATGTACCTTCGGCTTTCCTGAAAAGGTTTCCCTCCCAAGTACCCACTCGGCTAAGGACGTGCCTTTGGATTTCGCTCACAAGGCTTCCCTCCCGAGTACTCACTCGGCTAAGGACGTGCCTTCAGATTATGCTCACAAGGCTTCCCTCTCGAGTACTCACTCGGCCAAGGATGTGCCTTCGGATCATTCTCAAAAGGCTTCCCAACCGAGTGACCCACTCGGCCAAGGATGTGACAAAAATGTACCTGTCTGAGGGGCACACTAGTAATCTTCTTATATTCTAAGGGCCGAACGGGAGTTCCAAGCAAATATTCCAGTGCGTGGAGGGTACCTGCAAAAGGCACTCCGACGCTCAAGTCAGGACAAGTACGAGTATCGATAGTAATTAATGAACAGTGTCATACCTCATTTTATGTGACTTATTTATGCTGGTTGTAATGGGCCCTAAGTGTGGTGGGCCTGTTCTGACATTTACCAAATTAGGTAATACAATGCTAAATATGAACGATTATGCCTTAATCGTGTGTTTATCCTTGTTAATCATGATCGTTGTTCTAACTGCAGTATTTAGTCGTCTTGGTCGTTGGCCGAGCCAAGAGGCAAAGGGCTGCCAAAGTATGGGTGTCTTGTACAGAGAGGGTGTGTCATGTGCCCTTTCATGTGGTTGATGTGATCCTCCCGGTACAGGTTGTATCGTGTAAAAGGAGAAAGCTTAAGAAACACAGGTTGCCTGTTAGTAAGTTTCAAAGGGTCTCCAAAGTTGTTGATTTTGCTACTAGAATATACTGTCCTATCAGCTAAAATAAAAAATTTCTCTCAGCTGGCATAATTAATGGAGCTTAACTCGTATGCAAGTTGCTAGAATGGCATAATGGAACTTAAGAATACACGAGATCATAGAGCATTAGTGTCATTATCATCATTGTACATAAAAAAAAATCTGAATACTAAATAGGATATAAATGAATTCATCAATTGATGTATTAATTAATTATACTCAACTTATTAGCCAATATAATATTAATTAACTAAATATTAAATAAGCAAGTTCAAGTTTTGCTATGGATCAACTATATACATAAGTTAATTTTTAAATTTAATAGTTGAAAACTGTGAATTATTTATGAGTTTTTATCTCTCTCTCTCTCTAAATTTAATAGTTAAAAACCATATATGTTAAAAATGTTACATTTAAGTTCAAAGAATGTACAGTATATTATAATTATGTGTAAAATTACAAATTTATATGTAATTTTTATTTTTATTTTTTTTAAATTAATTTTTACTTATCTTATGAAAGTGTTTAATATTGCATAATAAAATAATAAGGTTAATTACAAGTTTTTTCAAAAGAGATGTAATATTAGAAGAAAAAAAATAGTTTAAAACTAAAAATGAACTAAACAAGTTAAATTTAGGCTTTATATACAATACGCTTAATTTATACTTTTAATTTGACTTATTTAGATTAATAAATTTTAAATATCATTAATTCTACAAATCAAACCTAACTTTGCTTGTGTGAATTGGCTTGTTATAATTAATACTCTTACATACCACAATGTCCCAAGCTAGTGTGGGCTAGCTTGAATGATGTGCGTGGAATAGATTGTGCTAGATAAGGCTATAATATATATATATATATATATATATGTTGGATGAATGAATTTTATGCTATTTAATTTTATCTATTTTTATTAAAGTTTAAAACAAAAACAACTTAATAAGCAGGTATTACAACAAAAAATATTATAATATATTGTAAAGTGTAATGCAGAAGTTTTATAATATATATATATATATATATATATATATATATATAAAATGATATACCAAACCATTGTATCAAATAAAAAGAGAATGCTTAAGAAACTAGGCTACCTATTGGTAAATTTCAAAACATGTCTGTTTGGACTTCGCTAATTAAGAAACCTGCTCAAAAATTGTCTCTTTGAGACTGATGAAACTCAAATTTGTAGAAAATTGCTTTAGTGCTCGGTAGAATTGGTATCCACCTTGAATTGAGTTGTATTAAGCATTATTAATATTTAATTCTATAACGAATATCTAAAATTATTAAATATAATAATTAGAAAATGAGGATCCTTTTAAATAATAACTTAATTGTTTTGGACCGATATGTTGGCTAGATATACAAAGTAAACAACATGGTATATCCCAGCCCAGTATAAGTGATAAAGACATTTCAACCCAATCCTAAGGCAAGAATGACCCCATACCTGGTGTAACGAGTACTAGATATAGCAGATACAAATTGGAAATATCTCAACAAGAACTTGAAAAATTGTTCCCACGGGTGCCACCATTAAGTAACAAAGGCCAAATAATATGGGGTAGGCATTATTGTGATTAAGTCACGTAATATTAATTTATCTAGACATTAACTAAAATGGAAGTGTACACCGATCTTTATTCTTTTCTATAAATAGTCTTTAAGTGTTAGTAACATTCATGGTTATTGTGATCTAAGGGCTGGGCTTACAACCTCAACATTTTCTGACTCTCCTCTTGTGGTGTTTCCTAATGCCACTAACCGAGACTTCTTTTTCAATTCTTGGGCATTACCCCAAAGCACCATGTATAGACCGCACACGATCATCACTGCTCCAAGCACACTATACAATTTAACTAAATTAGATTAAATCAAATCAATTCATGAATATATATGGAAGAAAAAAATGATTCAGTTTTGGCTAAACTAATAAAGATAAGATTTATAGCATATATATATATTTACCTTCCTAAATATAGTTTCTCATCCAATGTTAAATAAGCTGCAATATCCACTAGCAAAATCTGCAGAGGATTGAAAACAGACGCAAATAGAGGACCTCTCTTCTTTATGCACCAGGCAATGATCACAACTGCTATTCCAGAGACCACAATTCCCTGCATAAGCATTACTCACATGAAACAAACTTCCTTTGAGCATATATACACATGAGCTTTCAGTGCATCAATCTTTATTTTATTTTATTTAAATATAGGATTAAATATGTGTTTATCTCTACAGAATAAACAAATTTTTATATTAAAATCTTCAAAGTCTTTCTTTAATTTTTATCTTTCTAAAATTTAAAATCAACAATTTTGGTCTTAATGTTATATGATATGGATTAATTACCAATATATATGTATCTAAGTAAAAATATGTGTTGATTTCAAGTGATACTCAATCATGCACACATGATATATTTTTTTTATACCATGGTATTAATAGAAATATCTACTAATTTTGTCGAAAATCAGTCTTTCTTGAAAAGTTTTAAAATTTGAAAACTAATCGTAACACTAATTGCATCAATGAATGACTAGTAATATATTCCAATTTTGCATCTTTTCACAAAGATTAAAATTGAATTTCACTTGTTTAATTAATATGAATTAAAAAACAATTTTTCAAATTTGAAAGAGACAAAAATAAAATTAAAAGATGTGTTAGAGTTGAAAACTAAAATTTATTCATTTAAAAGACCTAAAACATATTTAACTCTTTAATTTATTAGCTTCAAAATTACGCACATCTTAAAACTAATTAGTTCATCCAAAGGTGAACAATCTCAGGCGTTTGGTTTAGATGCTATAGTGTATGGCAGCAATCCCATTTGTATATCTGTGCATGTAACTAATTTCAAAGTTTAAGACATAGTGATATTTAATAAATTAGGGGCATATATTATATACCGAATAAACCACTGTTAGAAGCCTGATATTGAAACCCAGCTTCCATTGGTTCCAATCTCTTTCGACACAAAGAGTAAAAGCAGTGGCCTGTATTGCTGCCATTGTAGTCATCAAAGCTGTGCTCGAGCGAGGACTTGGGTATTCTGCATTCATTTTAGCCTGCATGAGCAATGTTTGATCATAAAACTTCATGTTAATTAATTGATCAATGTGTAAAATCACCTCAATTCAAACTGATCCCTTTAGTTCAATTTAAAAAAAATAATAAAAAAATAGATTTATATATAAATATAAAATAAATAACAGAAAACTAACTCAATTTTAAAAAGTCGGCTTTTAAAAAAGTTGAATTGATTATATTTTATAGAGAATAGTTTGATTATAAAACTATTTTTATAAAAAAAGAACTGTCTAGTTGGGTTTGAATTTTAAAAAAAATGCAATCCATGTGTGCATTGTTTAATTGGTCATAAGAAACAAGGTAACCTGAATGATGAACCACGAAGAAAAAAAGCAGGAGCTTCCTATGGCACATGAGATACCCAACAGTTTACTTCGAAAGTCAGCATGGTGTAATGCCACATGACCATTTTGGTTCTGATGTGGATGCATAAGGTTGATTTTGGACGACCATATATTAATTTCTATGCCTCTGAAGAAGGTCATCACCATTGCCCCACTGATTCCAATTATGGTGCCTATCACCTTTGCCCTTCCTTCTGCTACTTTTAAATTTAATTTCTCGAACCTATATAGCACTTTCAAGTTCATTAAGTACAATTTTTTATTCAATTAAAAGTAATGAAGGCATAAGAAAAGAAAATATAGTGGAGTGGTATATATGAATATATATATATATACCCAAAGGATATGGCCAGAATGAAGGTAATGGCCGGATTAAGGTTGACCATGGCTGACATAAATGTAGCTGACGTCAATTCGAGGGCCTCCAGGTAAAGGTTTATGAATAAACTTCCCCTGAAAAATTAAATGACCATATCAAAATGTATATGCCTGAAATATATATCATTATGATATGATGTTAAAAAGGTGATTGAGAATATACGTAGCATACCCAAACAATCCACACAGAAAAGCCAATATAAGAACCCTCCAAGTAATCTTTGGTCTCTTCTTCCTGATGGCATGCATGCAAAAGCACTTTCACTTAATGCGCAAGTATCACGTTCAAGGAAGCAACCGCTTCCTTTACAATTGGTTGAGAATGATGTTACTCGAGTTTTGAAAATGATACATATGCTTACGTTTTGTTTAATTAAGAAAAAGTATGTATGATTTTGAATCAAAATTCAAATCCACGTAGAACAGATGTGACAATAACTTAATTTATTGCATTTCTGCTAATAATGAATGCTAATTAATAAGAAAAGGCAATTAAAGTATTAGATTGAAAAGGAAAGAAAAGGTAAAGATAAAAAAGAATAAGGAAAAAAAAAAGGAGCCAGAGATATTCCCGGATCTTTTTTTATGAATAAAGTAAAATAAAATTAGGAGTATCCTTTATTTGATTGTAAATTAAGAACAAGGAAGAGATATTAGCTAGCATTAGCTTTCTAATATTAATTTGTTGAGCTTGTAAAAAATATCTAAGAGAATATTCTTATAGTTTAATGGGGATGCACTAATATAGTAAAGTAGTTTTACACAAAAATTGTTTTGATTAAAAATTTTGGTGAAAAATAAACACTAATTTTATAATTCAAGTTAAATATAAATACGTGATTTAATAATCATATATCAATTAAAACAACTCTTTTCATTTTCCTTCTCTATAAGAAGAATATTGGTTTTCAGACTCCTTTTCCTCAAATATTTAAAATCCATCCTAATATTCCTAGCTAATTACATTCAGAAAAAGCATAAAATTCACTAACTTGCTCATTATGATATCATCTTCCTTTCTAGCCTCTTCTAGAAAATAGGATGATCTAGTTTGTAATTTCTGCTCACTTATCTATTTCAAATTTATTAGTTTGTTTTTTTAATTATCATTTATTAGTTTGTTTAATTTGGTTTATCTTAAAAAATGTTTCTTAAAAAACTTACAAAATACTTATTTTTTTAAAAACATATTAAGGACAAAATAAATAAAATTATGTAATTATTTTCTAGAATAATATCTATATATACAGCGCGAGTAATTAATAAATTATATAATACTAGTTTGAAAACAATTATAGCCCTTTACACACAAAAAAAGAAAAAAGAAAAAAAGGTGATAGGGGTCAACTGTTAAGAGATATATACCACAATATTTTACTATACTTGCTATTGAATGACTATGAGAAATCATTGACTATCATGATACCAAGATTTCAGCAATTATATCCCACGATAGACAACAGCCAATTAAGGACACCACAAAATGGAATAATAGCTACGCACTATTATATATATGCTGTCAGTTCATATTATAGAATACAATTCAGATCAATACTATTATATATATATATTTTTTGTTAGGAGGAAGGGAAATAATTTAACCGAATGGAAAAAAAAATAGGGAAAAACTCATTTGATCGGATAACATACAAGAAATAGCGTAAAATTGTAATTATTTGATAGAGAGATATTAAGTAAAAAATAAAGAAAATATATATTTAATATAATAGATTTTTATGTAAAAATATATTATTTAAATAATTATATTTATTTTTATTAATTATTCATTTAAACAATAATATCAATAGTGTAAAGTAAGCCTTATTCAAATATTTATTTTTGAAAATTCTATATAGATTCACCTAAGGGAGGAAAATTAAATCTACACAGACGCTATCATGTATAATTATTTTACAAATTTATTTAAATTATCTCCCCTAAATATATATATATATATATATATATATATATAATGAAATAATAATAACATGAGAAAGGGCAAAGATTTCATATCAAAAAGCTGAAGCTACAAAATAAAAATAAAAAGAGTGTTAGGAAATCCTCAGCCCGGACATCAGCCTACAAGTAAAGGGCAAGGCATGTTTAAATTTATTTGTAATATATATATATATATATATTTAATTTCTTAATAAATCTATTCTTTTCTTTTTCAATTCCTATTAAATCATCTCTTCTAATACACCATACGTATCGGAATTTGAATCTTTATTGTTTTCAAAAAAGAAGGACTTGAATCTCTTTTGTGATAAGATTTTTTTATGAATTTATTTTTAAATAAAATATTTAATTATTTTATCCAATATTTTTAATTGTTTTAATTTTTAAAATATGTAAACAAATAAAATTATTTTTAAATACATCATTATATTTCTCTAAATATTAAGGGTATAAATATATATATCAGAGCAAAGAATCATGTATTCAGGATATAAATACGGATCATTTCGTTTAAATTTTTAAAAATAATTATAAAAAAAGTGTTTTTTAAAAAGGTAATTTTTGAAGATGTTGATAAAAAAAATATTCTTTTAAAAGTAAATTTTTTAAAATAAATAATTTAGACAGATATATATATATA